CAAAGGCACACATGTGTCCAATACGTCCGCCGGCGCTCTCCCTCTGTGCCAATACTTCTTCATTCATTTGCTTTGATTTGTTTGTTTGCTTTCAATTGGATCCAAATGTGACAACTGTTTGACAAATCAATGTTTCCATAGATTGTGGTAATAAGGATCCAAACACTCATTCAATTCATACAATACACCGATTGTGGCATTGAATGCAATTTATTTTTATATTCAATAATAACTATCCGTTTAAATGAAAATAACACTAAATATATCCCGTATTATAATAATAACAACAATAAAGTTCACTAACCATACCATTAATGAAATACGCACTCTCTCTCTCTCTCTCTCTCTCACTCACTCACTCACTCTCTCTCTCTCTCTCTCTCTCTCTCAGGTTATTTCAGGCGTAAACTAAATTTAAAAATACTTTCAATTGTATTAAACAATGAGTATGAAAACAAAACACACAATTGGGCTTAACTTTGAATTTAAAATATAAGTGACAGAAATTTTAATTAAATGACTTTTAATTATTTTTCAAGTCTTTTAAACGGTTTTATTTTGCAATGTCTTACAATATGGTTAGACGTCTATTCATTTATGAATGAATGTTCATTGACTCGAATATAGCTTAAACTTCGGTCAGTCGGTAACAGTCGGAAATATGACATACCATTAGATAGCAAAATGTTTTTATATGATTAAGTTTGGAGTCAAAACATTTGACTTATTTTATAATACATACACTGCCTAACAGTTCTGTGAATGATCTTTATGGTTAGATCTACTATTCTTGTTAAGTATTGTCATAGTATTGTAAAATATTATTAATATTGTAAAAATGCTCATAAGGGAGTTAAATTTACTAAAATTAATTTTTACTTTATATAACATATTATATTCCTAATTATAATATGCAACACTCAAATTAGCAACTTTAAAATGACTATACCGTACACTCACTTTTACCGGTAATATTAAGAGAAATATTTTACTGTAGTTAACTTCATAATATGTTATATTATAGCCTTTAATGTATAATTAATTTAAACTAAATTACTTATAATTCAAAATTAAGATTAAATCTATTGACGACTCTCAAATTGATGGCATCATAGAATAATTGTAATTATATAATGTCATTATTATAAGTGCACAAAAACTTGTTAAAATTGTTATGCTGTACAGTATGACAATGATAGTACTGTATATCCATTCGATTCATTTCAGAGTAATGTTAATGTAGATGATATAGAGTGATCAAGCAAATATTAAAAATAGATTTTTCGGTAATGCAGTATAAACCATATAGAATATTCTACAGTATAAGAATTCAATCAACTATTTTACATAAGATTATTTAAGTTCAAATGTTTGTTCTTGGTAAAGTTTTCTACTGTAATGTCATACCCTATTACTAAAATCGTGTAAATGTACTCCAAATAAAAAAAGTTTATTATAAAAATTTAAATACATACAATAACTACATACAATGATTGATTATGTTTGCTGATTAATGATATTTTTAATGGATTAGAAATTCATAGAACTTAACTATAGTTAAGAATTTTTATCATTTTTATAATGACAGTTTAAAGTAAGATATTAAATATAAAATTAAGGATACGTGTAAATCTTAAATACAAAATATTTATCTCTTTTCTGTCTAATATTGTCAATTATTGTAAATAACATTATAATAAATCTAATGCTACTGTAATGTACTGTATATAAATATTTGTGTTATTTTCGCCGGAAAACTAGCGATAAATATTATATATATAATAAAATAGTAATATAAGTGTAACACCGGTAAAGTACACAACTTTTAACGCATAAATATTTATTAAACTTCCGATAAAAGTATAGGAACTGGAAATATGTCACAACTTTTTTTTATAAGAACAAGGATTTTATTAATTGTCTATTTAATAGACTTTATTAGACCTAATTCAATATTTAGTTTTAAAGTCTCATACATTGAAATATTTATATTTTTAACATTTTGTGTAACATTTTATCATAAATTAATTATATAAAAATTAATATACAGGTATTATTATATAAGACTATATAGATTTTAAATAAATCTCTACGTTATTTTATAGGAATTTACTATGGGAACAGTAGCTTATGTTGTATTTTAAAATTTGATTTACTGTATACAGTACTCATCAGCAATGAATAATAATTTATATCCAAAACACATAAGTGTTTGCAAAATAGCTAAAGATTTAACAAACAAAAGGAAATGAAGAGTATTTAATATTTATGTGAAATAATATGCTAATTCTGGGAGCAATTAACAATAATTTAGTGGAATTTAAAACTTTCCGACAATCTGTACGTAAATACTCTGAACATTGAGGGAAACATTGAAACTATTTTTGGTTGACTTTAGCCCTCATAAACATATCCAAAAATGTTAGTGTTTTCCGATGAGATGTTTAAACATATTTTTGTTATATAAATGTTTGAAACGTTTCAAATGTTTAACACTTTTTATGCATAGTTTTGTTAGTTTTATACCCTCTCTATAAATACATCACAGATTGCCTTCAAATGCAGTTCTACTTCACTTACAATCGCTTTCATTGCAACACTATTTCCACAAATTTTTTACTATAAAATTGTTGCAAAATAATTAAATTGTCAGTTAAGTCACAATTAACCCTAATATTCATTACATCCAATTATTTGTGCTTATAGTCAAACCTATGCTCTCTCTCTCTCTCTCTCTCTCTCTCTCTCTCACTCACTCACTCTCACGCATTTACTCTCTTTCCCTTTAAATTGAGTTATTTTGAAATGAAATGTTTTTATGAAATAAATATAAATTAGTTTGAAAAATATTATGTTTTTTGAGAGCAATTAGAATAATTAAGTTTCAGTGAAGCGATTGGTAATCAAAAAAGTTTATAAAAGGCATTCATATGGCAATAGCGGACAACAACTGAGATATTAGTGAAAAGTCCCTCAAAGTACTTACAGTACTTTCAGTGATCCGTTCAGCAGAGATGCTGTTTTTCAGCAAAAGCAGCACAAAAAGCAATTGTTTCGCGAGTCCTGCACTCTGTGTATAGGATGAGTGAGCGTACGGTGTATTGAGAGCTGTAGTGTATGTGTTGTATGTAATCGTTCATACAGTGCTCACTGTATGTGTTGTATAATTAAAGGCTGCACTGAATGGTCGCAAAAACAATACATTTATCGATATATGCGATGATATGAGAGACAGTCTCTCATCACTGTATATGTTGTATATGTTGTGCTCTTTTCACTCAAATACTAATCATTATTATTATTAATTGAGTGAAAGCTATGACTCAATCGCTGGACTAACCATCGCCTCCATCACCACTGGATCTGTCAATACATTGAACCACGCATTCATCCCATTGTCACTCACTGTCCAACACCTGTCTTCACCTGTCTTCACATGTCTTACCATTACTTTTGATCCAATTCTACACTAATTATAGTTTTAATTGCTATACAATTGTCTCATTTCTATGCAATCGTCCATTTATGCCAACTAACCATTGGATCAGTTGTTTGTGATATCATTAGTTAATTAAATTAAGCAAAGAAGACATAAAGTGATTAGTTTGTGGTCACCGAACCAACTGATCCGCCATTCAATTGATTTGAAAGAACCAAAGATGAGGTAAGACTTGATTTCGGACACATCTGTCCACCAATTGAATGACTCAATGGATAATGTTTTGGTGAATCAGTTGCGAGACATCGATATCGTCTGCGAGGGCGTCAGTCATGCTATACGACGACAACTCGAAGAAGTGGTTGCCTTCGGGGTCGTCATCGGGTCTGTCGAGAGTCCATATCTACCAACACATCCAAAACAACACATTCCGAGTGGTCGGCAGGAAATTGCAGGACCACGAAGTCGGTGACCATACCATCAGCCAATCACTGGCGCCTAACTCACGATGTCTTGATGATTGTCTTGCAGGTGGTGATCAACTGTGCCATTCTCAAGGGTCTTAAGTACAATCAGGCGACGCCTACATTCCATCAGTGGAGAGACAACCGACAGGTCTATGGACTCAACTTCAGCAGCAAAGAAGAGGCCGACGCCTTCGCGCTCACAATGATTAAGGTTTTGGATGTATTGAACCAAAACATCACTAATAATATGATTACAACGAAAATCTCTGCAAATCCAACACAACAACCACTCTATGGACATATCGGAGCGCCCGAAGACTATGGCATCGGCGGAGGTCCCCCACCTCAACCTCAACAGTGGACTCAGAATCAAGTGAATGATATAAACGAGTGGAAACAACAACAGATGATTCAGGAGATGAATCATATGAATCATGTGGTGAATCACAACCACATCCTGAGTCCTCCCATTCAGCAACAAATGTCTCAACAAATGCCACCACAGATACAGTCAGCAGTTCCGCAGTCAATACCACAACAGCCGACTTACGGCACACATAATACCCATCACAGGAACCCTTCGGCGACTAACAACCCAGCGATGGTTCAACAGACGCAACAAATTCCACAAATGTCTCCACAACCGCCTCTCCAGACGACAGGTGCACCGCCTCCTCCACCACCCCCTCCGCCACCGCCGGGACCTTTGAGTGGTCCGCCACCAGCGCCTCAAATGCCAGCTGTTAATCGTTCGGCTCCTCCACCGCCGATAAATGCAAATAATATTAACGGAAGTACTCCACAGTCAGGACCCGTCAATTTGGCCACAGCTCTGGCTTCAGCCAAACTCAAGCGAACCTCTTCCTCGGCGACCAGAGACGAAGTGATGGGCTCTTCGGGCGACGCGAGCGCCAGAACTCCCGCTCCGAACAATTTGATGGACGAAATGGCAAAGACTTTGGCGCGAAGACGGGCACAGGCGGAGGGCTCACAGAACTCAGGTAGTGATCAATGCGATGGCAGTACTCCTGCCAACGACCACTCCTCAAGAAAACATTGGGACGGAAGGCATACGAATGGAAGTAATAGTCCCTCAAAAGATAATAATAGCGACTCAATGCATAGGTTTGATTGGTTTGCGATTACAATGTAAGTCCAAAACACTAAACGTTTGGTTTAAATGATTAGAATAAGGACCGGATCTCTGGACAGCGAACCCGTCAAACTCAATGGCATTGAAGGACTAGATGTCGAGAAATTCAAAAATGAAATTTTGGGAGAAATCCGCAAAGAGTTTAATAAAATGAAACTCGAAATAATAGACGGTTTGTATTTGTTTAACCCTTTTGTCGTCAATTGAATATTGACTGTATTTTATGAATATATAGCCATCAGAATGGAGTTAAACAGAAGATAAACTGATTGATTGATTGAATGGATTATATTTACATAAACACATGTGAACTCAAGTAAACCATTTAAAAGAAGATTTACTAAATTATAAATTACTTTAACGCCAATTATCCATAATCTAATGAAATACGTATGAATTATTTTGTGTAAACTTTATTAATTTTAAAAATTCAATGAAATGGGGTTTCAATTGAATATCAATGAAAAGTCGGCCCAAAAGCGCTTTCAATATTAATAGACGTAAAAACGGTTGACATATTGACACGATAGCATCGCTGACAAGAAAAGTGCCATAAATTGCATTTTATGAGCTATTTTTCACACTATTTGATGACTAACAACAGGAAATCTGTTTTTCACAGAAATCTCTATTATTTATTGCGCTTTGAATGTGATTTGAAATTATTTAATAATTATAGAGAAATAGATATTTAATTTAAACAATAGATTGTATAATATTTTTGATTGACGTCTGGAAGTGATTGCATACTTCCGTGAATCTGATCTCTTGGTTACCGGTTATCACAAAACATAAGATAATAAGAATCTGAATGCGAAGAGTTGGACCCCATTTCAAATAAAGTGATTATTTATTCATGATTTCTCATCACAATTCATGTATTATTTGAGTTTTTAAGCCGAATTGAGTTATGAAAAGTATTTTCATTGTCTATAAATCATTGCTTTTCGAGTAAATATTCTGTAATTATTTCTCATTTTAATTGTATAACTAATATTAAGATTGTATCAAATCATTGCGACAAAAGGATTGAGTCATATTTAACTCAAAAACATTGTATTCATTGTAATATCAAATTTGAGCCCATTTTTAACGAGACACTTAGAAATTAGGATTTTTAGTAGATTTTTGAGTCTTATTATTGAACTGTACTTAACTTTCGCCTAAACTATTGCTTCACTATAAATGCCTCGACTTTCTGTACACTTTTTCTAACGATCAAAACATTTACACATTTCTATTGATTTCCTAAAATGAATCCACATTTTTGGCCAAATTATTCAAATTGTTTGTATTCCTAAGAAATATTTCCATTACTTTTACTTAACACAAAAGTTATACCAAAGACTGAAAACTAGCGAAAAATGATTTGTGTCTTAATATATATATAAATTTGACAACATTTTGATACTCATAACTAAACTATTAGCTAAAAACCGTGTTAATCACAACATTTAATAACATTTACAATTCAATCATAAGTCTATTTCAAAATATCGCTTATGATTCAAATAATTCAAAACTCAATTATCTATTTATACTGCCATTAAGTGAAAGCCATTTTAATTTCAAGACTTTCGGTGCTCTAATAAAATATAAAAAATTTTAGTCAAATTTTATACAATAAGTTCATTCTTATATCAATGTATTGAATGCTTAAAACAATTGTCTAACGATTTTAATGTAAAACCAATTGTGTATTGAAGTGTAATAATAATAATAAGTAATAAAAATAAATGATTTATGATTAATATATTAATTGTGGTTTTCAATTTATTTATTCATTAAAATAATTCGTGACAAAACATATTACATTACATTCATATCAGCTTTTAATCAATTTCTCTATAACTATAACTATAACTACATTTCCCTATAAGGCCTACAGTATGTACTGTAGTTGTCACACTTTTTACATAGAGTAAAATGTATTTTATAATCAAATATAATTATAATAAATATAGATTTAAAAACTTTTCTAATTTTATTGCCTACTTTTAGATCAATAATTAGCTTTTTAAATAAAATTCTAACTGTTTTAAGCGTAAATAATATACCATTTACAGTAAATACAAAAGAATATTGTAGAAAGAATATAAATGAATAGCCTATAATAATATTGTAGTATTTTGTAGGTTATTGAAATAAATATGTTTTAAATAGATTAATTAGTAAATCATTTGTTTATTCAAAACAAGTTAGTCTAATGCGATCATCAGGGCCAATTTGGGTTAGGGTCATTTAAATGTAAATGTAGTGCTGTCACTTTAACAAATAGCATATTAAAAGTCAGTTGTATTTAATACAGTTGTAGTTTACTATAACACTACGGTTAATACTGTGCATAAAGTTATGAATGAATGTGAACCGTATGTTCACACCTACATACAGTATTTCAATGCATTTTCACCAGACATTTATATTATCATTTATATTTAGCTCCAAATTAGTGAAATCTATGTTTTATTATGAAAATTATGTTATTATAATGATTATATAATTTTAAATTGTTTTAAATTTCATTAATAGTAATTGATCAATACTTTAGTTTTGCATTATAACTAGTGTTTGCTGTATGTATACAATGTAAACTTCACTGCAATTTGCAAACAGTGAAACCAATTCATTCATTAGTCAATACAAAAATATTTGCCGTAATTTATGCCCAAAAACACAATAAATTCTTTAGAAATACAATCAAATCTCGATATAAATCACAATTTAATTTAGTTTTGAATTGTGAATAAAATTCAAATTTTTAGATTAGATTTGATGTATAATTAGTGGTTATTATTAGACAATACGAGGAATTGATGAATGAATGAATGGATGAGAAGTGCGGCAAAGAGTGTGTGAATGGAGTGTAGGTTTGTGTGTTCAGGAGTGAGCGATGGGTTGAACGCCATTTGCATTGAATTAGACTGAAGTGAACACAAAAAGCCATTCATTTGTGTCAAGTGTTGTCCACAGAAGTGATTGAATTGTGTGTCTGTCTGGCGATCACTCGATTGGGTCCACCGGTGGTCCTACTGATGATCAAAGCGACGAACAAATAAGCAGTGAATGAAAGGTTGTCTGAAGAGAGTGTTGAGTGGATGTGATGTCAATGTCATACTCGACGACCACTGAAGGCATCACTCAATCGCGACCTCAAGTCAACCCATCTTTGTATTCGTCACATCCATCACATCCCAACCCAAACGCAATGCCAGTGTCGGCGCCACAGGAGAAGACCCTTCTATGGCAGCAGAACCAGTACATGGACTCCGGGGTCCACTCGGGGGCCACCACTCAGGCGCCGTCCATCACCGGTCGCGACGACGACTTGGAGTCGGACGCCATGGCCTACGACTGGGACCCGAACTTCGGTGAGGCCTTCAGCGATGAGGCGGTCGATGAGATGAACCAACAGCTGAATCAGACGCGATCGCAGAGAGTGAGGGCCGCTATGTTTCCCGAGACTCTGGACGAGGGAATGGAGATCCCGTCGACTCAGTTCGACTCAACACAACCCACGGCTGTCCAGCGGCTGTCAGAGCCGTCGCAGATGTTGAAGCACGCGGTGGTGAACCTAATCAACTATCAGGACGACGCAGACCTGGCCACCCGTGCCATCCCGGAGCTCATCAAACTGCTGAACGATGAGGACCAGGTGGTCGTGGGACAGGCGGCTATGATGGTCCACCAGCTCTCCAAGAAGGAGGCCTCCCGTCACGCCATTATGAACTCACCACAAATGGTGGCCGCGTTGGTGAAGGCTATGTCGCAGTCCAACGACTTGGAGACCACTAAATGCGCGGCCGGTGTCCTCCACAACCTCTCGCAACACAGACAGGGATTACTCGCTATCTTCAAGTCGGGCGGAATCGCAGCTCTCGTGAAGCTCTTGAGTTCACCGGTCGAGTCGGTGCTCTTCTACGCCATCACAACCCTTCATAACCTACTCCTACATCAAGAGGGCTCCAAAATGGCGGTCAGACTGGCCGGTGGTCTCCAGCGGATGGTCACTCTGTTGCAGAGGAATAACGTGAAGTTCTTGGCCATTGTGACGGACTGTCTGCAGATCCTGGCGTATGGCAACCAAGAGGGCAAACTCATTATACTGGCGTCGGGAGGGCCGGCAGAGTTGGTGCGCATCATGAGGTCATACACTTATGAGAAGCTCTTGTGGACCACTTCCCGAGTGCTCAAAGTGTTGTCCGTCTGCGCGAGCAATAAGCCAGTGATCATCCAATCGGGAGGAATGCAGGCGTTGGCCACACACCTGAACCACCAAAACCATAAACTGGTTCTGAACTGCTTGTGGACTCTTCGCAACCTATCGGATGCGGCCACCAATCAGACCAATCTTCAGCCTTTAATGCAGGTATGCATTGGTTTACAGATCTATGCAATTGTTTGCGAACGCTGTCTAACGTGTGTTTCATTGCCTTCAGAGCTTAGTTCAGTTGTTGAACACATCGGACATAAATGTGGTGACGTGTGCGGCCGGCATACTGTCCAACTTGACGTGCAATAACCAGAACAACAAGACTATTGTCTGTCAAGTGGGAGGCATTGAGGGTTTGGTGCGAACCATAATCAACGCGGGCGACCACGAAGAGATCACTGAACCGGCTGTCTGTGCGCTCAGACACCTGACCTGCAGACACGCCGAATCAGAAATGGCTCAAAACGATGTCCGCCATCACTATGGTTTGCAAGTGATCAGTAAACTCCTGAACCTCCCGAGCCGTTGGCCATTAATCAAAGCGGTGATCGGTCTGATCCGTAATCTGGCGCTCTGTACGGCCAATCACGAGCCCCTCCGAACTCACGGCACTATTCCACGTCTGGTGCAGCTGTTGACCAAAGCCTATCAGGAGACCGGACAGCGATCCAGTGTTGCCTCCAATGGCAGCCAATCGAGTGCTTTCACGGATGGCGTCCGGATGGAGGAGATAGTGGAAGGAACTGTCGGTGCTTTGCATACCTTAGCTAAGGATGTGCATAATCGGGCTGTGATTCGCAGTTTGAATGTAATCCCCATTTTCGTGAAGTTGTTGTACAGTGAAGTGGAGAACATCCAACGCGTGGCCGTCGGTGTGCTCTGCGAACTCGCCAATGATAAAGAAGGTCTGTCCCATCAGTCTATGGCTTCTGTTTGTTGCCATTACTCACTGTCTGTATGTCTGTCCACCGATCAGGTGCTGAGATGATCGAGGCACAGGACGCCACGTCTCCTCTTACAGAACTATTACAGTCTCGTAATGACGGAGTGGCCACATATGCGGCGGCTGTGCTCTACAGCATGTCTCAGGACAAGTCCCAGGACTACAAGAAGCGTCTTTCGATGGAATTATCGAATTCCTTATTTCGAGAAGACGGCGCCAATTGGGGCACTAATGCCGACATCGATATGGGAATGTTGGCCGCAGACGACACCTTCCACGACCCCATCTATCACGGAAGCCAAGGACCGTCTAGTGTTCACTCGACCGGCAGTCGTAATCCATACCACACGGGACCATATGATGCACAGGTATGGTAGCTATTGTCCTATTTAATTGACACTATTGTCTCATTATCTTACGGTTAATCATAAATTTTGAATCAGGGTCTCGACCCCCTGGGCCCACACGGAGGTTATGTGCATTCGGTAATGTCTGCAATGGACCAGCCCATGGATATGGGAGAACCAACTGATCTCAACTTTGATGCACTTGAAGGGGCACTAAATCCTATGACTCCCCACCAACAGCAGCAGCAACAACA